TTTGTAAATGTATAATTCAATATCTTCCCTTCTTATACATTTTGATATTTTTCAACCTTGATTCCATATAATGACTTGCACCATCCTGAGCATAAACACCACATTTGAAACATAATCTTCCTGGTCCATGATCTTTTGTGAACAACACCATCCATCATCCACATTCACCCTGAACCACTTGTTGTAAAGTTTTTAAGCTATTGTTGTACTAAAACACTAGTGTAACTACAAGTTTCAAATCCAGCTTATCCCTCTAATTTACTCTATATAAGTAGTCTTAGTTCATTCAGACATTCCTCAGCACAGCTTATATATATCCATATCATCTGTACTACTTCTGAAGTGTGACTGATTGAAGACGAGTTTTTCTTCATACTTTTATAGTTTCCTCTTATTTCTCTGTAATGCTGATCCAACAGATGGATTTACACCTGTGCCATCGACGGAATCCATTCTATCATGGCGTGGTACGACCAAACCACGCACTGAAATAAGCATTCACGTTCGTAAATTGTAGCCCCTTGGTTTCTGTTTCAGTAGTCTATATTTGTGATCATCTTCATAATTAATACATGGTCTCACAGAGGTGGTTACTTGTCTGGAAGTTAGGATATACAATGGGGATATATGGTTTTTCGACCACAACACTCTGGCTAAAGACTTCTACAACAAGTGGTTTAAAGTGAACGTAATCAATGAAGTAGATGAGAGGAAGTTGACAGTTTTCATTAATGATGAACTTAAATTTGAAACCAGAGATCATGGACCAAGAGAGTTTTATTTCAAAAGTGGAGTTATGCTCAAGATGGTGCCAGTCATTAACCGGAATCAAGGTGGAAGAATATCAGAATCTATAATAAGTGGTTTACATGCAATAAACTGCACAGGTTGAACTTCAGGGCCTGTTTGACTGATATCAATTGAAGGAACATCGGAACGCTGTGGGGATTGGGTAATCTGCTCCTCTTGTTTGTTTGGGTTTTGCCTATGTTCGGTTTTCGGCCAAACAGACTTTTAACTGACGCTACACATCTTGTGTAGGCTGATCAGGTGTATTCTTTGGTGTGTTTCTATATAAATTT